AGCTATCTTGGGCCCATTTACCTTCAAGCAGGTGGGGAGTTATGCATTTCTTGATCCATACCAATAGATATCTTCCTCCATTTTCAACCCAGTCGCCAGAGTATGGGATTCTTTACTATCCCTATGAAGTCCCTAACAGAACCACATATGCACAAACTGTATGTGTGATTGTGTATTCATATACACAGCTACAAATAAAGTTGTGGCCTAGTATTTGAATTACACATTCACATCTGAGTCACTCTTCAGCTGCATATTAATGACACATTCTTGTTTTTCTGCTGCTTCTTACAGAGCTTATTTCTGCTGACTCTCCTCCATTTTCAGACATTACTTCCCCTGTCCCTGTATCTGAACATAACTACAAACGTCATGTTTATAAAACCAAGTAATTTGAATTTACTGAATAGGAAAGTACAGTACATATAATAGGGAAGACAACCTCACTTCATAGCTTAAGCTGTAGTGATACTTGCTTTGCAATTTCTTTTCATTATTTTCAAAACTGCTTTTCTAGTTAAAAACTGTAACCCACATTTTAACACTGGGTGTGCATGAAGTCACACAGACTTGATTAAATGCTATTGTTCTAACAGACTGGTAATGCACAGAGAACTGATACAGCACAAATATCTTTGGACATGAAATAAATCATGACCCTTTTGCAAAGCATTAAAAGTTACTTTTAAAGAGTGAAATAGTATATGAATTAATAACCATTTTCACATACCATTTATGCTTCACTTACCATTCTAAATCTAGTGAGATGTTTCATATGCATAATTCCTTTGCAGTAGTTTTGTGGAAGCAAACTGTCATCCTGTCCTTTTATTACAGCAACTAAATCCCATAAATTTTTGCTTCCTCCTGGAGGCTAAAATTGTTAGGGAAGACAAGAGGTGTGTCACAGTAATGTTCAAGAGAGAAATTTGAACTTAAAAAGACATTGGAAAACATTTGTCAGTGAATTCCAAGAATTACAACTTCAGATCATTCCAATATGAAAAGCTGTACTATGAATTAGTTCAAGATACTATAACTCCTTCAGTTTTCTTGAAGGCTGTGAAGATACAGCAAGATCCATTAAAGTATTCGGCTATGTGTGGACATAGTTGCTGGCTCACCATTAGAGTTTTCCCTATTGCTCCCAAAGGAGTAGTAATTTAAAAAAAGCTGTTCAGTGGCTACTACTGGCATGAAACAACATTCAGTTGCTGGGATGCAAGAGCTGTTCCAGTACTGATTTACCATGTTCTGTAAAGCAAAGGTGTGGGCCAAGTAAAAAACAACTTCAAGGTTCGGACTGCCAGAATCCAATTTACTATCTTAATATTAAATCTTAAAATAGACACATACAGTGTACCTGTACATGCACAAAATCCCGTCAAGGCAGGGCTTTTTTTTGTTTGTTTGTTTCTTTTTAAGAAATTTTAAGCATTTTTATCAGTCTAACATTTGAATCAATCTTTCTGTAGAACTAGGACAATTGTTTGAGTTCAGTGAGGTCTAGAAGAGAGTAAGTAATAAAAAGCCTAAAAAGAAACCATTAAAACTTTGACCTGAAGAAGCTTTAAGAGTGACAGGATTGCAATTTTAGAAGTCTAATTATTTCTGAACTGGTAAAAGCAAAAGATCCTACAAGAGAAAAAAAAAAGAAAAAAGAAAAAAGAAAAAAGAAAAAAGAAAAAAGAAAAAGAAAAAAGAAAAAAGAAAAAAGAAAAAGAAAAAAGAAAAAAAGACTGTTGCTTCTTTTTACAGTCCCTTAAAGCTCTTACTTGACTCTCCATAGTTTAAGCAAACATTTAATTTTCTGAACTGAAAAAACACTGAACACAGGCGATCAAAAGAAGGTTTTGTTCTTGAAAAATTCTAATATTCATATAACAGTTTTACTCTTGAATCATCATGGGACATAAAAATATGTAACTTCTGTAAAACAATGAATTCCATAAAAATATATTTGTAATAAAATAGGAAATGTTGAAAACTGTAAATGAGAAATTATTGTTTCAGCATTTCTAAATCATACACTTCAATTTAGGTAGAAATCAAGACAAATATTTTGGATTAACTAGGTCTTTGTAGATCAGTCTATTGACTTAAGTTACAAAAGTGCTCCACACAAGCTGTAGTTCTAGGTAAATTTTGACCTTGTTCTACCCTCAAGTTCAGCTCCTATGCAGATAAGCACTTACAGGGACCCAGTAATTTATATTTTAAACTCAACTGCACAGAGAGGCTGCAGTGATTTATGGGAAATATTACTGTGCAATGGAGCAAAGGCATCAGATGGATGCTGGGTCATGGGTCATCCAGATTTACAGCTCCTAGAAAGTAATACACCAGTTTTGACACAGATACTTGGGGAGTTCAAGTCTTATCTGTAATGAAGTTGTCCCTTTGACGAATTAAAATTTAAAACTCCAATGTAGTTTAATAAAATACATATTTTTATTTTCTTCAATAGAAAATTCTTGCCAAATCAAACTTTTACTATGAAAAATTAAATTATCCCACCTATTTCACTTCATTAAAAACTGGTATTCACAACTGAAAAATAGTTCAGTCATGGACATTTTTACATGCAGAACTGTAAGAGAATTGACTTCTGCATATTTTCTGAGCTCCCTTTAAGAGGAAAAAAAAGGTAGAAAAAAAAGAAATATCATTTTTGGAGACTGACTTCAGAAAAGAAAGTCATGCACACTGACAACATCCTTAAGTTTGTAGAATACTTACTGAAAAACATTCTGAAAACCACCTTAGTTTTTTTGCTCGAGCATTTCCTGTCAATTTTTCCAATTCTTGTTTAATATCTCTGGAAACTTTACCACACAGCAAAGGAGGAGCATCAGATTCCACAGCACGATCTAACACACACAAAGATTTATATATGAAAATTAAAATTAAAAAAAGAAAGTATAGCAAAATATAGAAAATTAAAGTAACAGGGTATACCATATACTTACCTGTATTACCGATAATGTCATCCCAACATCTATCTGCTAAGATATTTATTTGTAGAGGGTTTATAAGAGGTGTCAATGACCAGAGTCTCACAGTGGAGTCACGAGAGCAAGATGCCATAGTAAATGGACGACTAGGGTGACATGTTAATCCTAGTAGAGAGGGCATTTAAAAATGTAGTCAAATAATTAAGTTTATATAGTAAACAGTTTGATTATTTTATAACTTTTAAAATATTTAAAAATGCATTTCAATACAGAAATAAAACAAAATTTGAAAATATTACCATATACATCTGCACCATGATCATAAACTGTGTCCAAACATGTTCCATCTCTTGTGTCCCAGACTCGAATTGTATAGTCCCAACTGCCAGATATTAGAAGGTAAGGAATTTCAGGATTCCACATCAGTCCCCGTACTGGAGCTGTATGTCCACTAAGAACATTTATACAAGCATCCTGTGTATAATCCCATATTCGAACAGTACTGAAACAGGATAAAAAAAGACCTATGTCCATTAAATCACCTACTGAAATAGTATTATCTCTCTACTTCAGCAATATTCTAAGCTTCAAATTTATCAGAATATTTGTTTGCAATATGGTTACAGAAGTTGTAATAGGGGAGGTTGGAGCCAATGCCCTTCATGTTAAGGATAGGGTACAAAATACACCAAAGACAGTTCATCATGGTAAGAAACTATTCTATCCACTGCATAGTCTTTCAAAATCTTACATGTACCATTATTTTACATGTGAGAGAAGTTTGCTCATATGTCTGCATGCATAATAAATTAGTCTGTTAGGATCCTCAAGGGGGGGGAAAATGAAAGAAGAAAGTGCAAAACTGTAAGATCTATCTTTCCTATGGCTTTAACAGCCCTCTAACAGACCCAGGAAAGTACAGATCTGTTAGTCTAACCTCAGTTACTGGAAAAATTATGGAAATCACACTGGGTGCTATTGAAAGGCATTTAAAGAATAATGCAATTATCAGGCAGAGTAAACATGGATTCACAGAGGGAAAGTCTTGTTTAACTAATTTGATATCCTTCTGTGATAAGGTCACCTGCCTAGTAGATGAAGGGAAGCCAGTACATGTATTTTTTCTGGATTTTAGTAAGGTTTTTGAACTGTCCCTCACAGCATTCTTCTGAACAAGTTTTCCAGCTGTGAGATGAGCAGGTTAACAGTGCACTGGATGAAGAACTGAATGAAGGGCGGGGCTCAAAAGGCTGCAGTGAATGGTGCTACATCTGGCTGGAGACCAGTCACCAACAGTGTTCCTCAGGGTTAAGTTCTAGGGCCAGTTCTGTTCAATACATTTATCAATGATCTAGATGCAGGAGTTGAATGCATCACTACCAAATTGGTGATGATACCAAACTGAGAGGTGCTGTTGACTCTCTTGAGGGACAAGTGGCCTTGTAGAGGAATCTAGAGAGACTGGAACATTGGTCAATGATGGTACGAAATTCAACAAGTACAATAGCTGGATTCTGCAACTGGGATGGAGTAATGCCAGGCACAAGTATAAACTTGAAGAGGTGTGGCTGGAAAGCAGCCCTGCAGAAAGGGATCCGGGGGTGCTGGCTAACAGCAGGCTCAGTATGAGCCAGCAGTGTACCCTGGCAGCCAAGAGGGCAACACACATCCTGGGGTGCATTGAACACAGCACAACCAGCCAGTCAAGAGTGGTGATTATATCCTGTAGTTAGTGTTGGTGCAGCCTAATCTTGAGTATTGTGTGTAGTTCTGGGCCCCACATTTCAAGAAGGATGTGAAGGTCCTTGAATGTAACAGAGCTGGTGGAAGGGCTGGAACAAATGTTCTACGAGGAGCGGCTACGGAATTTGGGTTTGTCTAGCTTGGAGAAAAAGAGGCTGAGGGGGGGCCTCATTGCTTTCTGCAGCTTCCTGAGGGAAAGTGGAGAGGAAGGTGCTGATCTCTTCTCCCTGGTATCTAGTGATATGACATGTTCTGAGTTAGACTATGAACAGGAGTGTTACCAAGTACAATAAACTCTAAAGACTACTTACTTTCTGTGTTACCTGGGACTAAATTATTCAGCAATTCCCTTCCTTCTAAGTGAAAGTGTGACTGTATTCTGGAAATCCTTCCATAATCAAGACTTATTACATAGCCATGATTGGTAATAAAATCAGAATATCTCATAATGACACTATGACAGAATTTTGGATTCTCTACTTCTTGCACATGTGAAAGAGAAAGAATTTACACATAAAAAGTTTGTTGTCAAGTTGGTTTCCTTCATAAATCATTACACTAAAAACCAACAGATTTTGCTTCAAGGACAGAGAACTAATGAATGACACTGGGGAAAGCAATAGAAGCCAGTACATTAAACTTGTGTTCCTTCACAGAAATGTTTTGTATACTCTTGGAAGTGGCTTAGAATCATAGAAAAATCATTCCTCCTGCTTACCATAGATTGATGCACGCTCCCTCAAAAAATGTCATCAAAACCCAAAAAACAGAAGTACCTAGCATCCATTAAAAATCTTTACAGATTCTACTTAATTATGCTTTTGAAAGACATCAAATAAGAGCAGGTCTTGCATCCACATAATTTAAGCATGTGGTATCCTCCTTGTATCATTCCTGGGAGTAACAGGTATCAGTCACTGACTCTACTCTTGAGAAAGCATTTGGAAAGTTGCAAATATTATACTAAGCTAACAGCACAGCTACAGCCTGAACCTGAACAAGGCAGAGATTTAGATTATTATATTATTCACAAATATTTTGAAGATGCCAGCAGCAGTACAACTAAAGATTCTCAACTTTCTCTATTAGTCCTGCTTGAGGTTTTAAGTTTTCTGATAGTTCAGAAATACACACCCATCATCAGAGCCACTGCAGAGGATTCCTTCTCTCAGGGAAGACCACCGTACATGAAATACCTTTGCAGTATGCCCTGTAAAAACTTTCAGTGGCTGATCTGAGCTGGTTGCCAAGTAGTAAACACGAACATTTTTATCCTCACAACCAGTAGCTATCATATCTCTGCAAAACAAAAATAATAAAAACCTAGGTCACTGGGATCATGAAAAGCACATACATATTTTTAGTTTAAAAATAAATGTGATGCATATTTTGCAATGTGCTTTAAAAATATCTTATTTTTACTTCTCTTTTGCTGTTTATGATGTAATTATTGATAATCCAATTAATACACTAAACCATAAAAATCCTGATAAAGATCCATTAGTTGCAACAGGGTCTGCAGTCTGATCAAGCACCCAACACAAATAATAATTAGTTAATAATTAATTATATGCAAAATTAACATATATCACATTGTATTTAGCTGCCTGCTCTATCTTCAGTTTATCAGTCATTAAAACAAAGCCAACCTAACCGGCCCTTTCCTGCTAGTGAATGTTTATATATTTTTTTCCTCATTATATACTCAGCCAGAGGATTTTTTTTTTCTTAAAATGAAAAGATCGTCTTTTGAAAGTTAAGTAGTCTTTGTCCTACTCAACACATTAACATGCTGGGCAATGAAATACACAACTGGGAATACAGAGCTGGTACAGACATATCATACTGGGGAGCAGAAACCATTTCAGTGCTCTAATTATCACAGTAAATACAGCATTCTAAATAACATTGTGTTATTTTATTGGTAATCAAGTTCAATAGTAAATATTACCAATTCTTTGGGTTAATTTTTACTTACTTGTTGTTTTGACTCCAATCACAGCCAAACACTGCAGCTGGATGTTTGTACTTGTGAAGAACCTTGCCATCAATAGTTCGAATAATACTGAAACCAATTACAAGGTAATATTATGAGCAAAAAAGCATTCTGAGTAGGCTATCCAAAAGTCAAGTTTGATTCTGAGCAAATAAGCCAGATAACAAAAAGTATACAGTGGGAATATGAGAAATCTTTATCCCTATAGCCCCTGAACAACAAGTCTAACTATGTATTTCCCAACAAAACACTTAATTGGGCTTCAGAGTCCATGTTCCTTCAGAGAGGCTGTAAGGACGTCCACTGTGGTACCTCCCTCTCTGAAAGGATCCTCACAGACCAAAATCTAAGTTGTAGCTATGACTTTAATGTACAAATAGGTCTTTAGAGATTAAAAAAAATAAAAACGGTTGATTGATTGTTTTCTAGAATTCATGCTCTTGTTTCAGCTGAAATAACATGGGTAGCAAAGGCAAAAAATGAACAAGAATTTTAAAATGTACTGAAACACAAAACAAGCAAAATTGTTCTCAAGAGGCATTTGCAAGTTTTTACAAATAAACTTATACTCCTGTAACAGCACAACCGCAATTACTTTGTTCTAAAATAGTGAATGCTAGTCCTTAAAATAACAAACAAAATTAAAAATTAAGACAAGTACAGTGAGATAGCTTTTGAAAAGTGTCCTCCATATCTACATATAAGAAACATAGAAGAAAATTCTTCGCTAAACAAAAATCAATATTCATTTTCACTATCATAGTGTCTTAGACATTACTCCTTTTGCAAAAATTTCCATTTACATTTTTTCTTAAAATCATGAAAAATCTATCCTGAAAAATACATGAGATTAATATAATACAAGTTTTGGCCAGTAAGAACAACTTTAAAATTAATCACTCATAGTTCTGTAAAGTTTAGTGACTTGAGAAGTGCATTTAGCAATTTTATTTTCTTCCAATAACACTCACCAAAATCCATCACTGCTGCAGGTTGCTATTCTTTTGGAATCTTTATGACTCCAGGCAATGCAGAAGATTCCATTCTTTCCATGCTTCAAAAAATGCAAAATACCTATCAATAAGAAATAATTCACTCCTTTTTTCTCTCATCTATTGATTCATCTTTTTTATTTTATTCTCCTGTGGGCTTCCGCCCTTTTGTCTCAGTAAACTATACTGTACAAATCCACATTCTGAGTCTCCAGTATAGCCAGGATATTTAAGAATCCAAGACCAAAAATTTGGAACTGAGAAGAGACTGTAAAACTGCCACACTCTTCCAGGATCCAAGAGACAACTGGGTTAAATTGAAGAATGAGCAATGCATAACTACATGAAACTGAAGCTTGAATAAAGGTTAGCTACTTGTTGGAATAATGAAGTTAAAAGGCATAAATAAATGCTGTATGTGAAAACTTAAGAAGGATGTGTATCTGGATGAATGTTTGAGAAAAGATGTGCAGTAGCACAAGTGCAAATCTTGTAAGTGTTAGAACTCAGGAACTCCTGAATGTATATATATATATATTTGTTTTATGCCTTGCAACTATCTCTGTTTTTTTAAAGAGCATCCTTTGTCCTCTGATACAGATGCCACATCACTTATGCCTGTACAACCTGAAGATTACAGCTATATGCAAAGAATACATAAAATAGTACAGAATACTATGACACAATATTAAACAGCTCCTCCTGCCAATAACAACGGTGCTACTGTTTCAGGACTTGCAAATGCCTGCATAGAATGCAGGTTATAGAAAGCAAGATTGTAAATAAGGCATACATTACAAAATGGAGCTTTACTGGTCTAGACTTCAGGGACTGAAAACTTTTTCTGGGCCTTATGTTTGAAAAGTCAGACCATCACTTTACATTTTAATACTCAGTTTAAAGTCTATATGTCCATACACTTCTACATGTTTAAGAAAGAGTCAGCTATGCTTTTGCTGTGTATCACTACAGGACCATTTTTAAGATAATAGAGATCATCTGGTACTTCATCATTCTCTTGTCACAAACCCAGTCTGAGGAAGTAAAAATGCTTCTTCCTCATAGATAAACTGGCACCTACATAATTCTTTCTATAGATTTTTATATTATATCACCTTCTAAGAACATAGGAACTTAGACCCATCTTTATTTATTGACACTAGAGGGAATGACTAACTTACATTTCATAGAGACAAAAAAGGTGTAATCTCATCTTACCTCATTGAATCTGGTTATCATTTTGCCTTTTGGAACATCCCAGATGAAGGCACCATTTCTGGATGTTGCACCTGCTATGCAGTTCAGATCGCCTTTAGAGAAAAATATTTGTAAGATCTCACATATGTTTACAGTATTGCTTGACTAATATGTTTCTATTTTAAAATCAAGAAATGTAGCATAAACAGACGTCATCAATGGCACACAAACAAGAGTTTTTCGTAGTTTAAGGTCAGCATTTGATACTAAAGTCACAAATATCAATTTCACTAAAAGCTTGACTTGCTTTTCTAAATTCCTGTTTTGAGGAAACGGAAAAATAAAAGTTATATTGTTGCAAAAGAGTATCCCCAATTCCTGCTGAAAGTCTTGCAGTTAAGGTGACAGGAAAAAAATGTCCATGATGCATATGACTCAAATTGAAAAAGAGATAAAATCTCAATGTTTCAAGCTTAAAGCTGCAGCAACTACAGCATTTCCTTTTATTTAAGATCCCTATGCACTAAGACAAATCAGGAAGAATGAGACAGAACATGTAACAGTACTTTCTTTTCTTAAACTTGCACCACTGCAGCACCTAAGCCCATCAAGAATGTACTTAAATCTGTAACCACACTCTACAAGTTGGAAAATCTGAATGTATGACTCTATAGTGAGAAACCGAAAACTGAATTCAGACCAAACCCAAAAGCCATCGAATTCTCCTCAACACAGTAACCCTCTACCCAATATAGCTATGCTTTTCCTAAATAGCTATATAGCACATTTAGATATATATATTTTGACTGTTATTTTATACCACATTACAGATGCAGAAAAGGCAATGAATGCAGGAGGAGTCTAAAGAGGTATATATTTAAGATGGAAAGAAATTCAGGTAGGAGAATGATAGGAAAAAAAAAAAGTCTTTTGGAACCAAATACAAGTGGTGGCATGCATTAGATTATATATTAGGAATGAAGATAAACTATAGTATAAAAATTTCTGTCTGGCATGGACAGGAACTTTAGGACAAGATGGTAAGGAAGTTGAAGCACACTTTTCCAATTAGCTTGAAGTTATTTTTAAAAAATGAATAAATCAGAATATAAGATCTGAAAAGCACCTCCTCCAGTGAAAAAAACTGTTCTATCAATGTGAGTCTACTACAGGCTGAATTTAAATTTCAAAACAAAATAACACAAAAGAAAACACCATATTTCAGATCGCCATAATTTCCATATAGCAAGACAAATTAACTGTGAAGAGGAACAGTGTGCAAGAGACTCTCAAAAGAAAAAAGTGGAAAATAATTTCACACATTCAAGCTGCATTAAGATTCCCATCACAATATTTTGTCCTGTCAGCTATTATTTCTTAGAGTTTAAAAGCACAGGAAAGAAACACAGTGAGCTACATTATTTAGAACTTTAAAAAAAATGCATCTGCTGTCCCAAGAATTAAAACACAACAAGAAAGCCTACCAATCATCAACTATTGACATTAGTAACTATCAGAAATGTACTCCCGGGTTCACCTAAGTGCGTGGCAGAACAGTTTTGAGAAGAAAATTTCCTACTGACTTCAGTGACTTCTCTAAAAAAAGTAAATACTCTGCAGAAAAGATACTCCCTATTCTAATAAAGTAAAAACAAAGCTCTTCACTGATAAGAATCCTACACAAAGAAGGAAGAGAAAAAACTAAACACGTGTTTTACTTTTTCACACAAAATAGAATCTGAATTCCTTTAACCAGCTGCTTCCCATGCAAAGAAAGCCTTTTCATCGTCTGCATAACATATTGCTAGAAAGGCTCTGGAGGTTTTCCTCCCTCCCTTCTGACTCACTATGAAATACTGAGATCATTCCTCATAAGAGCAAGCCTCAATAAGGACTCTTAACGCGTCAAATTCAATGGTTTTCACAGATAATAGTTCAGTTATGTTTAAACCTTATAAGATACCCTGCTATCTAAACCTAATATTTTTATAACGGAAATTGCTGCTAGTCAACGCTAATTCAAAGAACATTTAGAACCAAGGCAAAATATTCTTACCTGGAGCCCAAGAAAGAGAATAAATAACCCCCTCATTACCAGGAGATGTGTAAACCGCTGTTAAAGTATTTATGTCCCAAACTTTTATTGTGCCATCAAATGAAGCTGTAGCAAGAAGATCAGGGTTATCAGGTTTGAATTTGCAATCAAAGATGGTCTCAACATGTCCCTTAAATGAAACAAATATTTAATCCATTTTTATTGTTTGATATTTTTCAGAAGTCCAACTCTAGATCAAACTCAAAAATACATAGTACTATAATCCATCAGATAAATTATGAGTTCCAAAAAACCTGGTTCATCAGTTAAAATTAAAAGGAATAAAATAGCTTGGACCATAACACTTCTCCCTCTCATAGATCAATATTAAAGACAGAAAAACTCTGCCCTGAAAAAACAGGGAAAATGCCAGGGACTGGTTGGCATTTTCTGTTGGAACTGAGTTGCTAAAAACAGAACTAAAAAAAGCTTAAACAAACAAAGCCAAACCAAACCAAACCAAATTTATTTTTTAAAACAGAAATAATTTTGCCCTTTAGGTAAAAAACACCTGACTGAGAAAAATAAACCTTTGTATGTTGATCATGTCCTACAAATTTTCTAGTATTACACTGAGTTTTCTATGTTCTAAATACAGTCTATGCTCTACTGCAGATTAAACTTCAATCCATTAGAAATGTACCATCTCAACTGCTTGTTTTCTAAGACATGCATTTGTAGAATTTATCTTGACACATACAAAAGAAACAGGTAATACGTAAAATTTTTTTAGAGCCTCAGTTGCTTTACAGGACCAAAACCTTTAAAAATGGAAAAAAGGAACACCAACCAGCAGCCTCCATTCAAACACGTGTGGGAGTACAGCTGAAAATAATGCAAGTTTTTCCAAAGAAAAGGGAACAGTAAGACAGAAAAATACTCAAGAATAATCAAAGACCCAGTGAATAAGAGGTTCATCTCTTATGTGACAAACCTAGTTTTGAACTTCTGGTTCAAAGATTTAATAATTTAGTCTTTGTCATTTTAAACTGAATGACACAACCTGAGTGTGTCCAAGCTGCATATATTTTCTCTGTGATTTGACTAAAACTTTTATTCTAGATTCTAGAAAACTCTCCAGACAATATTTCTGAGCAGGCCATCAAATGAAAATTTCTGTTAAAAAATCCAAAACCAACAAACCGTTAAATCTTTATTTCTGGATGAAAACTGCCAGAATAGTTACAACAGGATTCCAGCTTTTACAATAAATGCTTTCAACTTCAGAGAAATTTAGACTCTTTTTAATGACAGAATCTGTTTTACACTGCTGTGAAGACTTCATTGTCCATTTTCTACTGTTAGAAGAAAGTATATAAGTTAAATAAACTCTTATTTAAAAGACAGAGATGAAACATACCAAATCTCTAAGAAAATCCCACTTTTTGGCTCCCATGTCATAAAGCCCCACTCCACCATCCATGAAGCAACAGACAGCATGTCCAGGAGGAAGAGAAAATGCTTGGTTTTGGGTTAAAGTTGGAGGAGGAACAGCCTCACTTGTTGAGGATGTATGGTGATTTTTAGCAGGATACTGTGTTGAACATGCTTAACAAAATAAAGCAGAAGATATAAACAGGTAAGATTTTTTTTTCATTTAATAATATGCAACAATTATAAAGAGTAAAATGCTTTGTAATCCAGTGAGATTAAAACCAAACAAAAATAATTGAGAATTCATGTACAATGACTAGCCTACTAAAGAAGGGATGTATGAAGTGCTTGATCCTTTACACATTTGTCTAGTCATCAGAGGGTACTTTATTTAATGAAGAAATACAGAGACAAAAGTTTACAGAGATCAACTCACATATAACAAATTCATAAACAATATTCTCTTAACTTGTAGCAATTGCAATGATTAACAATAAAAATTACACTTACACTTTTTCTTTGGAGGAGAACTTAACACATGCAAACCATGGAAACCACTTTTCTTCAATTTAAAATTACCTAAAGGTGTTGTACGTGAAACACTCCAAATACGCAACACACCAACTTGAGAATCTGATATGTAAAAAAACCATTGATTAAAAACATTTATTATTTTGATTTAGTATTCTCTTTTTACTGCACACATAGGTACACAGTTTAAGGACTGATTTAAGTGAAAATACAACAATGAATTAAACTCAGAATAAGCAGGCACTGTCATCTCCATTCTGGTACCACTATCAAAAATTATAAACATTAGCAATATTTACTTAAACTTCAGCAGATAAACTCTGTGGAACCTCTCATTATAAAATATTCTCATGGCTTCACTTTCCTTACTCACTGCTTCTTCAACCTGAGCACTAATACCTACAGTGAAGAAAAGAGGCAGGAAATAGATTTTTTTTTTTTTTATACTTCTAAAAATTGAGAGAGAAAAGCTGGGGAGCAAGAAGTGACATCCACTAGTATAAGGCATTTTTATTGCTATTTTCAAAGAAACTCTCATATTTGTTGCTAAAGTGTGCATGAGGAAAATATTTAGTATAACAAATAGTTTCAAGTCACTTGTTTATGTACCCAACAAATACAAAATAAGTAGAAACTTCTCAGTGTAATTTTCTGTTCTTTTCTAGTTTTAAGGGTTTTTTATGTACAAAGCACGTGTGCATTTATTTGTAGAAAAGTTAATAAACAGAAAGATCACACTTGAAGTATCAACTTTGAAAACTTAGTCCTATATTTATTACTTTTGTATAAATCAGGAAATAAAAGGCTTACCTCCAGTTATAAACATTCCAGGTGCACTAGACACCCAGGCTAAACACTGAACAGATGCTGCTGCACTGGGAAAATTGAAAGTTGTGATACAGGACAGAGATTCAGAATCAACTAGCCGAATTCCATGATGTAAATTAGCAACAAGAAGGTAATCAGTTGACAAAGGGTCCCACTCCAGTGCTGTAACTGGATCCTCTTCATCTGTTCCTTCAAGAGACTCTGGTCTTAAGACATGTTTCTGATTTTTAGATCCTTTAAGAGCACAAGAAAACAGATAATTTCTAAATTAAATTAAATATATCCCTTCAATAGTTTCAGTTGTTAATGAACTTTGTATAAACTTTCAACTCCTTATTCCTCTGTTGGAAACCAAGAATCTTATAGAAGTTAAAAACAGGAAACAAATTTTATGGTTAATTTATTTTTATTTTAAAATTGTCTAAATGAATATGTACAACATTACAATACTAATGAAAACTAAATATAAATAAACATAGAGACAGGTAAAATTCCTGTTATAATCTAAACTCAATTTCAAGCTAGTACAAGTAAGTTTTTCCCCAGCAGTAATGGATAATTTTCAATAAACAATTTTTTATACCATCATATGTGTGGTATATTCAAAACTGCCACTGCTGCTAGCTTTTTTTTAGCCAATATTATATTTGCATTTGCAGAACATAATTTTGACATTTTAAATCCTTTTCCTATCATATCTGTTTTCATATTTAAATAATTCTTGACAAACTTCATGAAAAATTTCAGTTCAATACATATTTAGAGGTCAACATATTAAAACAGATTTTCTTTTCCCAATGCCAATATTACTTCTGTCAGTGCTACTGAAGAAATCTATTCTCTGTGACATCTTGAGTGACAACTTAGTAGAGTGAACTGAGGGAGAATGAATTTTGCCTAACACTATGTAAAATTAACACATTATTTAAAGAATTACTTTTCTCACAAAATTGAAAATCAGTTTTTACTGGAGGAAAAGAAGTAGTCAGAAAAAAAAATTAAATAGTCCACCTAATACAGATAATCTGTCTTTGTAGAAAATTATGAAAGAGAGCTAAATTTTAGCTTCAAAGGAGCTTATCAACAAGAAACCTTCATTAGCAGAGCACTGAACTATTTATGAAGTATGCACAAATGTGCTCGGTGGATTTCAGATATAAAGAGAATCTTTATCTTTATCTTCCCATACAGTCTTTGACAGAACAAAATCACAAAGACAATATGAAGCATGACATGAGATTCTACCTATGAAAATGCAGATGACTCAAGCATATGAAGCACAGGACTAGAACAAATGCAAGCAAAGTAAGAGACAAGTCAGTCCATTCAGAAGAACAAGCTTGCTGGGAAATACAGTTCAGCAGAAAATCAGAGCTGTTATCATTCCCTAAGAAATCCAGTTTATTGTACTTGTTGGAAATTGCAATGTTATCTTGGTCACAAAAGGGAGAAGACAGAAAGAAAATGTGCTCTTTATCTAAGAAAATGTATTTTTGTCATATGGAAGGAGTAGTAATACTAAGAGCTAAGAACACGTTTTATGTATGCGCAAACATTACAAAACCTAAACGAAGAAAGTGCAGAATTACACACATATAGAGAGACAAAAACTATACATACACTTATATATAAAAATAAGTATTTTATCGTATCAGTTTTTACCTGGTTGAAAAATAGATAGGCTTCCATCAGTATGTCCAAATACTACTTTTCCTTTTTTCTTTGGATGCCATCTAAACAGACTGATATCTGACAAGAAACTATGTGCTTCTCTGTGTACAGTTACCCCGCTGTCAGGTCCTGAGATAGTCCAAATGTACAATGGACCTCTGTGGGACACAAATGCAACTGCATCACCTGCATTCCAGCACCAGGTAAGCGATGCAGGAATTCCTGAAACATACAGGTAAATTTTATAAGAACCAGGATACGAAATTCAGTGCATTACTGCTTCACCCAGTATCAGCAATTGTCTTGAAAAGCTGTACAAATAATTATTCTTCTACATAAAAATGATCAGATTGAAATTTAGAAAACTTTGTGAACATATTATAGTGTAAATGTAAATTACGCATATCCATAGGCGGGAAGTAGAATTATTTCCCAGATTATTTTAACACTACTTTGATGGGCCGTATTTTGTGATACTTATACTTGATTTCGTTAGTGCCAAAGACAATCATACATATGAAAAAGGATAAGCCTGATTCTGTAAACAACACTTTAATTCATTCACAATTCCATTCACCGTTATGTTTTATTATCAGGTATTTGCTACTAAGCTGGTAAAGTACCAAAAACTTTAAAATGTTTATTTTTGCAAAACACAATGAAATTTAATTTAGAGATAAATATAATAGAGGCATATGTTTGTGAAAAAATTGGCAAGCTAGCTCTGTAATCAAAGTAAACTCTTGAAAGCTTCCTTCTGGATAACTGACAGTTTTAATTCAGTTGCATAACACCTAACTTTAGGCATTCGAGTTTAAGGATTTTGATCTTAACATCTCCAGCCCTCACTATCCTCATAATTTAATACTCTGTATCTGAAGGAATAAATGACACTAAGACAAACTCCTCAAGCTGAAAATTCAAAAGTGTTTGGGATTAGACACTTCAATATTGCAGTGTCAAAGAGAGGAAAAGCAGCATTAGTAGGAGCTTTAAACACATTATCCTAAAAGTAAATTTGCTTTTAAAAAGTTTAAAATAATAATATTTTTCACACGTAGTCATTGGCTGAAGTAGTTTTTTAAACAACAAATGTATTGAAAAATAATCATTAGTTTTTATATTAGTGCATAATCTGATACAATATTCCTATTAGGATAGATATCTCAATGTGGTTTTTTTCCTACTTATTCCTTTTTCAAGATATGCAAGATGGACAAGATTTTCAGAGGTATCCTAGGTGCTCTGGAAAAAAACAGAGTAGGAGGTCCTGAAATGTCTTAGAAGATCATGAAATACTGACTGTTCTTGTGTTGCATCTGTTTTCCAAGAATGTAAATACAAGAGCCAAGGACACCTGACAGAGATTCACTGTAAGAACAGAAATACCTGTACTGGTTTTGAATCAAGAGAATGAAACAGAACTGGGCAGAGAAAGGTGGCAAACACAGATTTTTAACCCCCTAAGCTTCTACTACAATCTTCTAATCAGCAGTTTCAAGTCCCGAGAGAAAATGTAGGTAGAAAAGTATTAGGTTATTTAAACAAGTAACTTTGTCAAATTCACTGATAATTTATATTTCAACCTGTTTAAGGTTACATTTTATTTGCTTTCACTTCCATGAAGTTATCATGAAAATACACAGGGTTTAAAATTTAATTATCATTTTATATAGTGATGGAAAAAGCTGCTTATTTTCTGCTCAAGAAGAAATCAATAGCAAAGTGCATTATTGAATTGGTCAAGTACTTTAGAAAATAATAATAATAACCTATTTCTTTACCAATTATTAGATGGTTCAGGGCAATTTACTCAAAGACAGTATCATTCTTTTCTAAAATGAACTGCAACAAATTTGACAAGAATATTGTGTTATGCAATTGTTAAACCTCTGGCCTACCAACTGCTTAGAATTTACTCTGTATCAAATATTTCTGATACCAGTGGATAAAAAAGCTATATGGATCAAATAGATCTCCATGTCTGAAATACCTTTAGTATTGTCCAGCTTGGCCACAACTTTCTGTTCAGTCATGTTCCAAATAATCACTAAACTATCTGCACTGGCACTCGCAAACATGTCAGGATTGTGGGGACACCAAGATATGGCTGTGATTGTCTTCTTATGTTCAGACATAATTGCCCGGAGCTTGAATTCATTGTATCGGTGATCCAGCTAAACAAAACATAAAGTTTATTTTAGAAATACAAATTTCATAAACTCACTTTAAGTACTGTTGGGTTGGAGAATAATTCATGTAACAGTATTAGGCTCACGGATGAATTTATAGTGGATTTCACAATTGTCAGTACCTGACACCTCAGTAAATTAAACTCTCATACATTTGACTGGACAGAAAAGTTGTTAAATATTCAATTAGCCCAACCAGTATTAACACAGTCTGTTCTCTCTTCACTTACAAACTATTATATTCCATTAATAACTGCACTCAAACCCAATCCTAAAATGCTTTATTTATAGGCATGGTATCAACCATTTAGCAATATGCAAGAGGTTAAACAGGGTGGAATATGAAAAGAAGTTTGAAATCCTGCTCATTTCCTAAATCGCATTGTACTAAAAAAAAAAAAAATAAATACATAAAATGCCCAAAACTGACACAGTAAATTTTCTTTACTTTAATCCTACTAGCAGTATAACTCTTGAAGTTAAAATAAGCATATCCTTTATTTCTTGACATATGTCTCAGCCTGAAAATTTCATGTCACAGCATTTCTATTGCTTTGTTACATGCTGATGTATAGTACCTTTGAACTTCAGAAGACCATGGTGCTGAGCAGCTGAGAAATTAAGAAAGTAATAACTTGTTCCAAAACAAAGAAAGGTGAGCAATTGAATCCACAGCTCTGCATAGTGGATTAAACTACTTCAGAAGACTACTTTTACACTACAGCTTCAAATGAAACCATAGAATTGCTTCATTTCTCTCTTGGAACCCTCTCTTCTATCACTGGACTTCATTAATCTTAAATGTTTGCTGAATTGAGACCCTGTCTCTTAAAAATAATTCTTGACACACACAACTTCAAATATAAAGCTTGCACGAATCTTTTGCACTAGTTGTAACAATGAGGAAAAAATAATTTGGAAGGAGTGTCTTGAATGGAAGATTGAGCTTTTTACATGGACATCTTCTCAGCAGCAATCATACTTTTAAGAGCATTGTAGAAACATTTATTGTTTCTACAAAGCAAGACAGAAACAATGCAAAAATGTAACTAGTCTGTTAAATAAAAATGATCTTACCTGATAAATATAAATAGCAAGGGTAGCACAGTAGGCAAATCTGTCCCCACTAGCAGCACATACATCCTTGTTCCATGGCTGACATCCAGCAGCTAAAAGTCCCACTTGTTTAACGTGTGACATTTTTGCCTTTAAAGACGCAAAACAGAAATTCATTAGACAAGACGACAGTGTTAAAAAACATTAATAATAGACTTTTGTTCCCATAAATAACATACACATATGTGCCTTAAAAATACAGCTAGCCTTTACATTATAACAGCAACAAATTGTGTTTATGAGGTACAAATGCACGAAGCCAAAATAAAGCCAAACAGATTTTCACAGGTTTCAGTGCTACACAAGAAAGGGATTTTAACACCATTCACAGGAATCCACTTGGGAGAAAAAAAAGGGAGAGCAGGGAGGGACAGGACATGAAAACTCAAACAGTTCTTGATTTGTACTAGCTGAAGCTGGTCTCATCACTTTCATTTTCTACTGCAGGCTGATTCACCACTTTCTACATTACAGTGTAATGCCCTTTCTGTTCTCTTCTTCCCTTCATCCTCCAGAAAGACAGCCAGACAAAACAGACCATATGCTAATACTTTTGTTTTAGGTAAGTTAAACATTGTGACTAAAAAGGTCTTCAAGCAACTTGCATAGAACAACTATGCATTATTTATTATCAGAATCCCTTTTGAAGAAGCTTTCTAAATTTTCTAATAATTACTATTTAACAGAAAATTTGAAAGACATTGTGGAAAATAAAAAGCAAAACTTAGTGTAACATTACTGTATTATTGTACAGAGAACTATGCCTTCATTGTCCAAGACAAGTCTCAAACGACCAGCTCTGCTCAGAATGAGGCAACAACCAACTTTACCATAAAAACACAAGAAATGCTTCGCTGGGCCAGACCAATTATCCACCTACCCCGTATTTGATTCGTGATAATGTCAAAATGTTACTTAGAGCACACGAGCCTGGCCATTTTTCTATGATCCATTTACATACTCTGCTAAGACCAAGAATGCACACATTTGCAAAGCTATGGTTAAAATTCAACTTGTGGGTGGGTTGCACAAGATGACCTGCGGAGGTCCTTTCCAACCTCAATTATTTTGTGATTCTTAGATTTAAGAAAAGATTCAAAATGAGCCGTGTTGCATTTATTTAGAGCAGAGACGTAGGGAAGGCTATCAGTTTTACAGAATCTCTGAACTCACTTAGAAACCAGTCTTCATGTGATACGAATGTCCCTGGTTTAAGCGAATTGTCAACTGATCAATGCCTGTTCCATTAACTTGCAGAAACATTTATGGCTTTATCACTAGCATGGGCTCAAGTAAGGTCCAGACATAAAAACTTACTCTTCCAACTATGTTATAAAATGTATCATTTAAGGACATGTTTATACTGTAGATAGATCCATGGACTGAGGGACATTATGTGGCAAAACATTACACAGAGTGTGGAAGATGGGATCTTACAGTCAAGAGCTGAGACTATGATCTTTAAAAGATCAGGAGATTTATGTTCGATTTACCAAGTGTTAGGTACACTTTCAAGCCCCAGAAAGGAACTGAAATTAAAAAGAAAAAAAAGGAAACTTCAAATGCAATAAAGCATTTTGAGCAGCAATTGTTGATCAAGTGCAAGGGTTGGTTATACAATGCATTGCTGTGTAACAGCTTCAGGAGGGAAATGCTGTCTGTAGATACTTTCCATCTAATTGAGATCAACTGCATGGAGGGGGAAATATTTTTCTGAATGGCATTAGTATTAAGGGGCATTTAGAAAAAACTTTGTACAAGTATGGCACCTATCGGTCAATACCGACAAAAAGCTTTTCCTAGAAACATTTACAAAATTTCATTTTAATACATGTATATAAGGGATGAAAATTAAGTTGAATAATCAATTTTATCTTCCATTTTTTCTATTTGCTTGGGATATCTACTTGGCAGTTAAATAGTAATGAATAAATAGAAGGAAGAAGCAACATCCATGAGATTGTAAGTCTCTCTAACTTTGGAAAGTGTGAAAGAAAAAAATAAAGTTCAGAGATTTATTTTGGGTGCTTCTTTAGCAGAACATCAGGATCAGATTGAACATTTGGGACTGAACATCTCAAAGATATCACTGACTGTAGCTATAGTGCTTAAGCGTTCTGAGTTCTAAATGCCTAAAGAAAAGGAAACATCCACATTAACTCCCGAAAATTTTGGTAAAGGAGACTGTACAACAGAATAAAGATAAACAGAAAAAAGTCACAAAATCCAGCTCTGCTGCAGACCAGTGCTTTGGCTATTAGACTTCCTTTGCCTCTGCCAACAGTATTAATTCTCCTGACTTCTGCAGCAAATAAATTAGAGATTCTAGAGAGAACAGTTCTATAAATTACATCACCTTGCAGTTCATTTGCATTCTATCTCATGTTATAAATGAGTCTCACAGAAAGAAATTTATCTTATTATTTAAATAATTATCATCATCCTTACATAGTGTCAAAAAATAGACTCCACATTTCTGATTTTGCCATTGTAGTGTTCTTTCAGCATCTAGTAAAATTACAAATTCCAGAGGTCTCTTCTGTGCAATTAAAGTACCCATCACATGTATTCAGAAATATTTGGACTTGGGTCATTCAGAACTGCAACAAAGACTTTTTCCACTAACAACAAAAAAATAACAGGCACCATTAACAACCACTTTTTCTGACACTAAAGTAATCTCGTTGATTGCATAACAATTTGCCAAAATGCAGAGTAATATCTGGAACCAGAACTCCTGGTTTCTGCTCTTGATTCCAGGAAAAATGATGGTTAAAACACTAGGTATGCCAGCAATCAGATAAGGAACATCAAAAAAGCCATGGTAAAATAGAATTAAATGTACAATACTGGATTATCATAGGTGCAGTTTCTATGTTTACCACACGTAAGACTGATTAAAAGTTAACATCTCTTTAGATACTAAGAATGCCCAAATATTTAATTGATAGTAATAACAGATTTGTCTCATTTTGCACAGATCCTATTTTTTGCCTTCTCATATGGGAGTTAAGAGGTTCCTGATATGATGAAGTTTAATCTGTAAGAAAATATTATCTTAAATCTTGTTTAATTTGTGGTTTGAGTACAGGTAAAATTGACTGTAAAGCTAACATGTCTTACAGATGCTGAAACATTATTCCACAAATGTTTCTTTCGGAGTAACAACAGATTTGTCTTGCAGGATTCTGCAGTAATCTGTATTCCTTAAAAAAATCCCATTAATATATTCAGTAGATCTTACTTTCTGCCTTGATATGAGAGAAGTTATTCCTGACTACATGGAATCTAGTCTATAGAAAAATACTATTCTAAGTGGCTGAGAATAAGGAGGATTCCAAGCTTAAGTGCTGAAATCTAGAACAAAAAGAAAAAGGTCCTCCACACTGGTTTTACAGTTAACATGGTAACACAAAACAGACTCCCGCTTTGGGTTTGGAGTCAATTCCACTACTAGCACTACTATTTCCATGTTTTCCATGCAGCTGATTAACAATGAAGATGCTTTCATACATTTTTTCCATGTCATCAGGACACCTGCATAGTTTAGGCTATTTTAATGGTTTCCAAATGTATACATCATCCATTAGAGTTCAGGCTAGATGAATCATGACCAAAAAATCATTGTCATCAAATGGCTATAAAATTATTTCAAACTAGATCTAAATGTATGTCTGTAACCATAACTGGATATGTCATATGAAGTACTGTATTTCAAATAAAAGAACACATTTGAGTTCTCTTTGTTCTACATTAAAGACAAAAGGTAACTTTATATTAGTTTTTGGTGAAGAAATTCACCAATAGAAGCCTTATTCACAAGTTTCATTTAAAACAATTTTTTGGATAATGTACTATTTTTCTTAAGGTATGAAATTCAAATGAAAATGTCTCCTAAATATGACCAACATTTAGACGAAATATGCTGCTTTGTGATATTTATTGCACTGAGTTAATAATCCATGCTTAAGAAGCATTATTAAACTTTGATTCTTCATTTAGTTTTCTTCCTATTTAAGTATACATAAAAAAGTACATATGTAAAATATTCTGAGCTGTATTATAGAAAAGAATTTGCACTTCATTTACTAAGATTTGCTGGTTTAGACCTGTTCATATTTCCTGCTGCTTGTAAAGAATTATATACTGTTTTACAAAAAAACACTGTAACTAAGAAGAAACATTTGCTTTGAAATTCAGTACAATAGCATCTAGAAGAAGAAATTACAATTCTGTGGCATACTGACTGTTATTTTCTTGTAAGTATCACTCATTAAAATAGTTTCCTGCAGATCTCTTCAGACATTATAGATTTCTGTTGAACATAGTAAGGGAGGAACCAGCATTCATCAGAACAGCCTGAGTAAAATGGCAGAAAACTAGAAATGCAGTATAACTGAATAAATATTTACATATGTGTATGATTTTACAAATGCTGCACTTTTATACAATGGAGATTTTTCTCATATTTCATTAAAAACACATTTTATACCAAAATAAGGGATGTACAAGTAAATATATTGAACTCAAGTATACACTGAACAAAACCTGTGCATGTATAAAATGTAAAGCTGGGAAAGCTATCAAAGGATGCCCATAGTTTCCAAGGAGATGAAGGGAAGAGGGGAAACAACAAAAAACCTCTCTTTTCAATTGGCATGAGCAGCAACATTCTAAGCCCTTCCTTGTTGCCAAATATAGAAAAAAAAACCATTAAACTGAAATTTACCACAGACTTAATGTTATTTAAAAATAACAACTGAATGGACTAGATACATAGACACGGCTATATATCAACAACTTAGAGATAAATGCCTAATAATCCCTACCATAGCATAGGTATCATTTTTTGTAAACCATTTAAGAATTTCGATGTTCATTCCAATACCTTGCTGCTCCTAGAAATGCAAAATCTTGTTCTGGCTGTAGAATGAAATCACCTTACTTGACAGATGAAGGAACTAAACCTTGATGTTCCCAGAATAATGCAGTTAATGTCAGTAGCCTGGCAACTGCAGCTCTTTAACAGACACCATTTTAATTTAAACGTAATCCTTTTTCTCTGCTTCAGCTACTCGGTGTATTTCATC